ATGTCACCTACTAGGGGTAATGTTTTGATTGGTCAAACACTTTTGGTATAAGCTTGCAAATACGGATAATTTTTCGTTCCTGATGATGACCTAATTAATGTCGAAATATTGAATCCCGAAGCACGATGGCGTGCATTTCGATACTTGGCCCGTATGTATTATCAGGGAACAGTGAAATTACACTGTTCCCTGGTATAATGCTATCTTATCTGAGATTAATCAGTGGACTTTTCGGACTGTGGCTGACTATTTCAATTCTGTACACTGTGTTTTTCTGTCCAAACACAGCAACCACAGTGTGTACACACGGTGTGACCACAGTGTGCACCGTGTGTACACACTGTCGACACAGTGCAACTGACGTGTCTGTGGAATTTTTATAAGGGAAGGGCGTTATTTTGCGTGATAAAAGATAAGGTTTGCTACCTGGATACGGGTAACCATGGGAGTTATCATGATTGCAACAGAATATTTTTATAATTGTATACCTCCATGATTATTACTCTTATGCACAACATTCGAGAGATGACACGGCGTGTGCGCCTGGTCTGAGGCAATGGCAATTCTGTAAATCATAATACAAAAGGAGTGACTTACATTTAATATGTATTTTCACATTACCGATCATTTACTACTATAATCAGGATATTTTTTTAAAATTTGATTAGTTGGGGGAAGCCCTCGAACCTCCCCCCCCCCCCTACAACTAATCAAATAAAAAAATATCCTGATTATAATAGTAAATGGGATGTTACCTTGGTCCCAGTTGGATGACCTGGGAACGTTCTTTTAGCTATTGTGCTGGTTCAGAGGTTTGTGCACCTTTGACGCTACGGAGTTTTAGTAATTTTACTGAATAATGTTCACACTTCCTTTTCGCCACCTGAATCCTCTTCAGCGAACAACGAACATTGTTAGCCCATTTAGTTGGTTAACTAATATGGAAATCGACTTGTATATATATAGCGCCTCTCACAATTTAAGTCAAAGGCCCATTTCTGTGGTTGAGTTGTTATGCATTATCAATCATATGTGAATCGTACAGATTTTTAAAGCAGAGATACCACCACCCTGTATCATAATCAAAATTAGTAACGAAGAGGTATTAAGAAGGCTGATACTTAATAGTTACTTTGCTGATACAAGATATACAGAAGTCTATTTAGAACATATGGTACTATACGATTAATATATAACTAGAGAAACAACGAAGGAAATTAATTAGGGGAAAAGATCGCTGCATAACAAAAAATATTAGACATCCGCGCATGTGGTAAAAGTAATGAATATCAATTAATTTAATCTCGTCGTGTCCGGTATTATAAGAACTATTCCATGCATACATTATTAGGTTACGATATGGAAAATTCAATGTTTTGCAATTATCGGTCTGTCGAGGCACTACATGTTGCAAATTGAATCCGAGTTAAAAAAATAAAGTAATAAACCCAAGAGTATATATCGTTACTAGCTGTGTAGAGCAACACATTACTGAATAGACCAGCGATAGTCTAAATTCAACTTCTCTCCAATGGTTTCGGTCTCGCGCCTTGTGACATTTTTTTAAGAGATTGGTTATGGTGTGTGCGTGCGGTTGCGTAGGCTCGAGGAAGGACACACAGAACAATTGACAAATACAAAAGACAAGAATTTGGCTTTAATTCTACAATAGAACCATAGATCTATCCCACTTATAGAGGAGCCATCGTTGTGACTGCTTTTAAATGATGCAAGGAACAGACATTACCGCCGTTTGCTTGCCTTTGTGGTAGGCAGGTACACGTTTTGTTGTAGAACCCAAGCTGGAATTGATTTGGTAGAAAGAGGAAAAATGAATGATACCATAGACAAATTAGACGTTTATTTCTTGTCCGTTTCAATCATTTTAATGTGTATTGGTATTATCTCAAATAGTTTAATCATATTAACAATTTTGATGACGAAAGCGCTTCGAAATTCAAGAAACATCATTACAGTCAGTTTAATGATTTACAATAACGTAATATTGGTATTCGGGCCGATAGATCCCGGACATGAGAATACATATTCTTTATTGTCAGTGGGAGTGAAATCGACCCTTTTGGGTTCAATTGGTATTAGGGTAATAATGGCAGTGGAGCGGCTGCTGACTGTAATAGGACGCGGTCATTTTTTGACAACGTTCAGACGAACGCTTCTTGTAATAGTTGTTTCCATTGTGTCCGTAATAATTACTGTTAGCGCCAAGCTCACAGGTGACAATCAGAAAGATAGGAAAGCAGTTTATATCTTGGTAATCCTGTCAGGAGGACATTTGTGTATCAGTACAATGTATGTGATGCTATTCAACTTCGTTTATCAGAAACAGAAAGTACTGTTTGATTCGCGAGTGCTTTCTGACCTTTATAGAGCGCGAAAACTTGCAGTTACGTGCTGCATTCTTGTAGCGTGTTTTTCTATATGCTGGATTCCTTACCTGATAAACGCAATCTTGATATTGACAGTCCGTGACAAACTGTATTTGTACAGCTGGTATGCATATTTTTTAGATTTTTGTCGCCTTTTTACTCTCGTTGGTGCGTGTTGTGATCCGTATATATATTGGCTTAGAGTACAGGAGTTCAAAGTAAGTACAAGGAAACTGGTTTTGAAAATATGGGAGTGCAACAAGAACTCGGCGGTAAGTGTTGGATAGTTCGACTGGACATCTTGATACAAAAATGGTAAGTACATCTTCCATATGACTTACACAACTGATTTTACAGTATTATGTAAATTCATTCAACTATGGAAATATGAATCAACAGAATACATGTAGGGGAAACTTTCTCTATATAAGTGAGGGTTGATAATAGAACATGTTCTATATACCACCAGAGCATTAAACAAGATAATTCATATAGCAAAAACAGCCAATACACTCTAAAAAAAAAAAAAATAAAAACCAGTAAAATTTTCCCAGGCTCAGTGTTCTTATTTTTTTTTACTGATTTCAGGCTCAAAATGTTCTTATTTTGTTCTTACTTTTAAACACTTTTCAAGCATAAAACATTATTTTGTACATCAATATATTAAATGTACTGTTATATAGAGGGTATAACATAACATATTCACGTACTGCAAATAAAGTGCAGATAAGATTTGTTGGTTTTTCTATTTTTTTTAAACTAAAAAACCTAAAGAGAAATTTTGCCTTTCTTTATTTTTTGGCAATTTTCAGCCTCAGTGTTCTTATAAAATGCGTAAAATTGTACGTACATTTGTTAAACGTTTTATATTTTTGTGTATACACTATTCTGAAACTCAAGTAAATTAATTGATAGAATTAATTTGATAAGGTTAATTTGTTACAGGTTCATGGTCTAGCCAGTTTACGGATCGGGATCATGCTGACTCCGTGGTACAACATACAGAAGTTTATTGTGGGTTGGGGAAGCAGCCAGCTAGCAATTTAAGGATTTTCTGCAGAGCGCCAAAGGGAAGATATCGCCATTACAAATATGCATTTTTGATCATCTTTTTATGCAGATGAATGGTATTATCGTGTTGGTGGTTTAGCTGTTTTTTTTTTATATATCTACCAATCACTCACGGTTCAATGCAGATCATTTTTGTATTCGGGCCAATACACTTCAGTCTTTCTTACAAAGTAACAGTACAAATGATGTACTTAAAGTGTACTTAAGAACATTTCATTAATTTGTACAGTGTAAACACGACTTTGTGTAGAAATATACTATTGAAAGTGCTACGTTTATTATTGAGCGCACATAGACCTTACACTTACACAGCCATTAAGATGATTGTTTGAAACTAGGCTTAGGTTTTTGGAAAATCGATATGTTCTGCTGTGAATTAGGAAGTTGTAATGCCACCCTGACACTTCTTGCACGATTTTCGTTCCCGCACTGGAGCGCACTTCGCGTCGGCGTGCAAAATGAATAAAGTCTTCGGGAACGAGCATGAGGAGTACGTGAAGGGTGCGGGGGTTAGCGCCATGTCGTAGAGAGAATTTTAAAATGTTCAAAAATTTGGCACCTGGTATCAATGTTCGTGCCATATGCGTGAACCATGCGTGAACTCGGCGCGAACAACACTGCCACCGACGGTGCGTGTCAATTAAGAATGCTCTTCCTCTTTCTGCTTTTCCTCCTGCTCTTCAAGAAATAATAGTCCGCAGTTGCCCGATAGACACCTCTGTTCTGCAATTACACTGTCTCTGGGAATCAGCATGTTTGAATGGTCCATAGCGAGTCGATGAAAAACCTACGCTATATGTATATCGTGTCGCCAAGCGGGACGCGATTTTTTTTTCCGTACGAAACATTTACATGAAACTCCACTCGGGCCGTCTCGGCTGAATCGGCCCGAAAATCTCATTGCAGAATTCAGGAGGTCAAAAGGTCATCAACAGATAAACGTCTACAGAACAACTTCTGAGAGAACGTCGCTGTCTAATTTTTAAAAATACATTGATGTTACCATGTTAATACCAATGGGTCGTTTAAAATGACATATAATATTTGATTAAGCTGTCTTTCTGGGAAAAGCACAAAGAGTAAGGAAAAGCGCGTTTTTCTTCATCTGATCAAATGAAACAGAATGACAGTTATTTTCAAATTAAGAGAAGAGCTGAGAATAGGCAGCTCTAAAATACTGGATGTCAATTGAAATGCCAAAATGGCAGAGCGGCACCAATGAATGTATAAATGAGGCCTAAGCCTAGTTATATGTTAAATAGTGTATCTGCAGGTTCTTGATTACAAGGCTAGACCAAGTTAATTACATGTAATGCCGAAATGATGATAATAATAATAATAATGATAATAATAATGATAATGATAATGATAATGATAATGATATCTATGATATTTATTATTATTATTATTATTATTAAATATTATCATTATCATTATCATTTAACATTAGTTAAATTACAATGAGTTTGAACAAGTTCAATAACGCCGGAATGGTATATTATTTATTTAATAATATTTCTCTTATGCGCTCTATTTTTCATTTCATGCTTCAATTTTGTCCCATTTTCCCCCCAAAATTTCAGTCCATGTCAGTATGTGAAGCGTGACTGTTGTGTCAGCCTATGACCCTAGGCCTAGTTTAAGGAGGGGCCTAGGTAAGACCTCAGCCTGTAGTTAGGCCTATAGTTTATCCTCTTTCTCTCTAGCCTTTGGTATAACTGTATAATACCTATCTACACTTTATAACAGGAGGTACTAGCTGTTGTTGTTGTAGATAATATACTAACATTTAATAACATCCAAGAAGGTCACAGTTAGTTACACAGTGACGTACATCACACAAGTGTTCTGCAAAAATCCACCAGCACCAGAGGCTCTTCTAGAAATGCATAAATGTACTTGCAATGGTTCATGCTCGACCAATCTTTGTGGGTGTAAGAAGAACAATTTTCTTTGTACTGATGCATGTGAATGTGGTGATAGATGTGAAAATACAAAGGACTTTACAACAGAACTAGTAGATGATATTGAGGAATTTATTGACTGGATTGGTAAATAGCAACCTGATCATAAGATTGTTGGTCATACTACTTTTATAACTTTTAAAAAATATTTCCTACCGAAGAAATTATTAATATAAATGTTATAACACTTTTATGACCAAAAGACATTATCTAAGTAAAGTCAGTAAAAGGATACCCTAACCGGAACGCATTTTGTATCAAAGGTCAAATATGACGTTTCCTGGCATTTCTGAACAAACATGTTCATTAATGTAAATATAAATATACATATTGCGAACAATTTGAAATTAATTTCAAGTCTGTACGACTAGTATTTACAGAGATATGAGCATACAAGTTCAAAGGTCAAATCGCCAGAAATGGCATTTCCGGCCATTTTTCAGCAAAATGTTCTATTAGCGCAAATAGTAATATATACATTGTGAACATTTTGAGACCATTTAAAAGCTTCTACCATCAGTGGTTGCCGAGATATAGGCACCAATATCACAAACCGCCATTTTTTTAAAGCGCCCCCAACGAGTGAAAAACGCATCTACAAATTGGACAATAAGCTGAAAATTGTTTGTTGTGGTGTCATTGATCACATAAAAGTGAAAAATCAAACTTGGCTAAATAATTGAAGTAAGGCCAAAAAATGACAAATGCCTCCTGACTTATACCGCATTTGTCCCGCAGCGTCTCATACAACATGCTGTCTTTAAATTTTCTTAAAGCGCCCCCAACGAGTGAAAACGCATCTACAAATTGGACAATAAGCTGAAAATTGTTCCATGTGGTGTCATTGAACAAATAAAAGTGAAAAATCAGACTTGGCTAAATAATTGAAGTAAAATACAAATGCTTCCTGACTGACGTGAGCAATGCGCGAACAATTAAACCTATGCGTAAAAACTCATGCATGTACAGTGCGAGAACAGGTCGCAAACACGGGTTCACGCTGCAGCGTACCACCGAAATGGCATGTCTTGCCACGACGCATTGCGCGGCATCGCGGGGCTTATTAGAATAACACGTTAATGGAAGGTTTATACATGGAATCTGCTACAGTTTGTGTTGATTTGTTTGGTATTTTAAAGTTTTTAATGTAAAAATATTTGTTGTCCTATTTAGTAACTATTTGCTCATTTTTTGGACACGTGATCAGCATAAGAATATTATATCTGTTGGTACTGTAATTCTAGAAGAGTAAGGTTAGTGAGGTTCTTATTTGTAAAAAAATGATATTGTTTCAAAAATAAACAATAATAATAATTAATAATAATATTATTAATTGGCAATTTTTTTATTTTTGCGCACAATATTTGCCGTATATAGTGCGAGTAGGCCTATCTTATACTGTCAGAACGTCGTTATATTTGCTTGGTGAATTATTCAAGCCATGCTGTAAGTTTATGCCCCGAAAGATGTTGTTTGCTCATAGTAGAAAAACCGACCGGTGTGGATAATCAAAACAACTATTCGTGTATCACTGAATATTGAGTTCCTTATCTGCTTGGCACGACGATTAATTAATTTCATCACAATGGCACCTTCAATTCAAAAATTCGTTGTCCTTATATTTATAGTATTATAATACATTCGCCTGCTTAAGATTAAAAACTAGAATGCCGTCATTCAATAAATTGTAATGTAATGTAATGTAATGTAGTGGGATTTGGTATAGCGCATTATACGCAGTATACGCCATAACTAATACTGTATAGACGCAGGCGTTCATGGGCGATTCCATTATTTTCTTTTATCTGAGTCGAGGGGTAGTTTCAGGAATTTTCCCGAATTTTTGTGACATTACCTTGTTCTCTTAATTTTTAACACCAAAATTTAATTACATCTTCCTTAGATTAATAAATACCAGCATTCCACTATAGGCCTATCTTATTATAATAATAACAGAAATAACCCAGCTTTTGATTTCTCAAGAAAATAGTCTCCTGCGTTGTGTAAACTTTGTGCTATCTGTTTTAGTCCGTCTTTAGTCTTTGATCCCAATCATTTAATATAACTTTATAGTTAACATAGTTTGTAATTCTGATATTGATACATAAACGTTTCGAGAATCTGAAATGATTGTACAGTACATTATTCTCTAGATTAAGCCTGCAATAATCGCACCTACTGCAGGCCTAGAGAGAATACGTATAGAAAAAGCGAAGTTTACAGTCACTAATTTGTTTTTCTTGATTCGTTGTGTTTAGGTCTACATTTTGTTTCATTTGACATTTTAGCTCAGCCTCAATTTATTGTTTTGTTAAATTTTCTTGTATGTAATTTCATCCTCAGGGTCTAAGTTATTTTTTTTTTAAAGAGTGAGTATGCGGTGCTCTCATGCAATAAAGAAAACGGTAAAGACGAGATATGTTTTGCAGTATAAATGGTTACCTATGAACTTAATTCATTTCATACTTCTTATTTGTAAATTATAAGCCGAGTGGGTTATAATAATCTAAATAGACTACCAATTAGTTTACAGCACGTATTCATAAATATAGTGATGGGAAATTTGATAGGCCGAATGCCCGTAAGATTATCAATACAAAGGGAATCATGTAATAAATGGCATAGCAACCACAATTAATACTAGAATAAATTGAGTTTAATGTATAATAGATCAATATGATCAGCTACGTTGTTGAAATTGGACGAGTTTAAATATTAGGCCTATTCTAAACAAAATTGTACTTGCTTGAACTGCTGGTTGTTGCAAAAGCACGAGAACCACTTCTCGTCGAATGCTCAGTAGTAGCCCTATTATTTGGACCGCTATAAAAACATCACAACACTGATGTTAAGAATTGGGGACTCTACATTAGGCTATCTCATAATTTACGATATGTACAATCCAAAATCCTTTTCTATTTGATCTTTGATTCTTCACCCTGCTTCTTGGTACTGCACTTGACAATTTGTCGCAAAATCGGAGTACATGCGAAAAGCGGCCGATTTGTTGTGGATCTCCTGTTGGAATGGTGTGTATTGAACTTAAACTTGATGCAAAGGAACATGGATGGAAATATTACTGCAAATAACACAATAGACATATCGAAAGTGTATTTCTTGTCCGTTTCAATCATTTTAATGTGTATTGGTATTCCCGCTAATAGTTTAATCATCTTAACAATTTTGATGAGTAAAGAACTTCGAAATTCAAGAAACATTATCGCATTCAGCTTAACTATCTATAATATCGTAATATTGACATTCGGAACTATAAACCCACATACGGAGCCGCATCCCTTATTGACAGTGGGAGTGCAATTGACACTTTTGTGTTCAATTGCTCTTAGATTAATAATGGCAGTGGAGAGGCTACTGATTGTAATGGGGCGCGGTCATCATTTGACGACGTTTAGACGAACACTTTTTGTAGTTGTTGTGTCCGTTGTGTCCACCTCAATTAATATTCCAACCATAATAAGGAACAGACCAGACACTGATGAGGAACTTGAATCTAGAGCACGTGGTACCTTGATCTTGCTATCAGGGGGACAATTATGCATCAGTACAACGTATGTGATACTATTCAATTTTTTTTACCAGAAACAGAAAATGCTGGTTGATTCGCACGCGCTTTCTGACCTTCAAAGCGCGCGGAAACTTGCAGTTACGTGTTGCATCATTGTAACGTGTTTTTTCGTATGCTGGTTACCTAACGTGATAAACGCAATACTCGTATTGAAAATAGGTAACAAACTACTTTCTTCGTACAACTGGTATTTGTATTTTCTACATTTTTGCCGCCATTGTACTCTTGTTGGCGCGTGTTGCGATCCGTATATTTATTGGCTTAGAGTTAAGGAGTTCCGTGTAAATACAAAGAAGCTGATTTTCAGAATTGCTTGTAACACAAACTCGGTAGGTGTGGAGTTGATACAGGAACATAATAATGTTCAATCCAATAGTTAAATGTTGTTAAATCTATATATTATAGTTAATTGATTTTTACAATATTAAAATAAACCTAATTGACATATTATATACTCGAATTAAATTATTAATAGCATGGGGGCCAATGACTGGCATCTGGGGCTAGGTCGTATTGAGCGTACTGATTGCAAAAATAAGCATGCTCCAACTCTTCTGCGCCAACTTTCCTAGGCGCCAACTCTAAACGTCTCTTATGGGAAATATTTCCATGCAAGATATAACACCAAGTATAAAAAAATCACTTCATTAACCCAGCTAGCCCATCACTTCACCTTAACACGTATATAGGTATACAATTATACAATTCAGTTGCCGCATATCCTCTCTAAAACTAAAGCATAAAATGTTTGGCTGTCCTGATAATTTATACCAATTTATTAAGAGCTAAATATAGGCATATATTGAAAAAAAACCAAAAAAAAACACGATTCCACAATTAATATGGTTAAGAAAGTAAAAACCTAAATGAGAAAAAAAATCTTTGTCAATTAACGCATATTTAAATAACACCTTCCTGTATTCATTTGCAAAGAGCCTTAAATTTGCTTTTAATTTAAGGATTTTGGTTGTAAAATGTCTAAATCAGCGACATTTTTGGGTGTGTTTCTGAAGTTCATAACTTATTTCATGCTTTTATATAAGCTATTAACAATTTTATTGGCATTTTTTGGGGCTTTTTCCAATATTGTTGGCAAGCACTGGCCTACGGGTCCTCCCTAGAGTAAATTGGGCCTACAGTATTAAATTTATGTAGGCCTATGTATGCATAATATATATCAAATTGCTTCTGATAATTGTTTACTATGACATGTTCTATGAGATAACCATTTCTATTTGTATATTTAATGCTTGCTGTACACCTCGTAGATAGTTCTGAAAAGAACTGTTGTTTGTTGAGAATGTCTTGACATTTCGATTGAGCCCAGCAAGGAGGTATACAAATATTTTTATACCTCCTTGGCTCAAGTAGTTAAAAATCACCTAAAATTACTTTGTTTTGTGAACTAGTACCCCCTCATCTAATGATCAAGCCCTTCACCTTTGTGCACCCCACCAAAATAAGGTGATTTTAGGGGATGACTGGGGACCGCGAGTAGTTTTTAGAGGGGCGGGCGTGCGCCTCCGCGCACCCCCTGAATACGCCATTGATCACCTGTATTTATAATTGACATTGTGTCCAGTCAGATTCATTTATTACCTTTCAATAGCAAATTGTATCACTAGTTCAATAAAGTACTATGACTGAAAAAAATGTGAAAGTTTTTAAGTGTTTTTAAAAATTTTAAGGACCCGTAAGTGTTTTTAAAAATTTTATTTCATACTTGCTGTAATACAAGCAGATTTGAGAGATTTATTTTCTAACCTTCAGAATGAAGGTTATTACAAAAAGTGGGCCTCTATACATATCAGTTCTTCCAAATTTGCATTTGTTTTGGTTTTTTCTTCTCTGTTGTTGTTGTTGTTGTTAAGTGCCTTGAGGTTGTGTCAACTTAAGGAATTATACTATTATTTATTATAGCTTACAGTTGGATGGATAAACTGTTGACAACAAACAGTTATTTCTGAATAACAATGAAGTGGATGAGTTTTCTGCCATCCAGTGGATGTCAATTTGAGGTTTTTATAGAGTACTACAGTGTTACATCACTGTCACGATACCACGTGATACTACTCCGTTGCTACCAGCGACACAAAATGAGTTCAACCGGATGCAATTTTTTCCACTGACAAACCATTGATCCCAATTTAAGATGTTTTATCTTACTTTTTTTTTGTAAATTTTAATTGATGATTACATCGATGTTCCATAACTAATATAATGCGAGCTTTTGTGTTTTTAGTACATTTTGATGGTAAATTATTAAGTTTTAAAATGCCTATTCAAGAAAGCCTATTCTAAACCATTAAGATTATGAAGTCATCCAGGCATAATGTACAGTTAAACCAACGTCTGGTTGACAACAAAGAGCACCACCTGGTGTTGTGACGACACGACTGTGAGTAAAGAAATGTATGCAAATGTAATTGTCATGGTTACAAATTATATTTTTCAAATTACAATTACATACGAAATACGAATGAACTTTGTTATCTTTCATTATTAATAACAAAAGAAAAGCATCTTCAGTTAGCAAATGCAGACAAAAAACATTAAAATCCAGAAGAAAATCTAAAAATTTCATATCGTTATTATCAATATAAAACATCATATTCGAAAATACTATATCGTCATTTTCTATGAACGTAAGAATTAAAAAAATGAATACTATCATGGAGAAAAGAATTACGCAGACGGTTTGTCTTGTTACGGTGAGTGCTGAGCATTACAATTGTAAATTAGAATTTTGAAGCAAATTACAAATTACACCCAATTAAATTAAAAAATGTAATGAACACAATTTATCACAATTACAAATTACAATTACCCCATGTCTGGTGCCACTGGTACTAAAGTGATTCCAAATAAATTATGAAACTGAAATCTGTTGGTCCAGGCCTTACTATTCTGTAATTTCCATACATTTGTCTTTTCTTTTTTTTTTCTTTTTTTCAAATAATCATCATTATTTTCTTAAACATGCTATTGTCTTCATGCTTGATTGGTTCAGATCTAGATGTGGTGTGAAAGATTTAAGCTAGCTTGTCCTTGAAGAAGTCTTTAACACTCTCCCATGAATGTTGTTGCGCTTTAGCCTGATCCTCTAAGTTTCCTCCATTGATTAAGTATAAACCACCTTCAAGAATAAAACCAGGCCATTGTTATTGATGTCATTATTGATGTGATTTCATTTCATTGATTTTGTCCAATTTTTGGAAACATTATACAAGAAAAACATAACACAAAACAAAACACCCTTGACAGTGACAGGATTAAACAAAAGCAAACTTAATTGATGTACAAATTTTCTCCACCGCCAAGAATAATTAATAAATATATAAATATATCAAAAGGTTATGATTATTTACAATAAAAGGCAAATTTTAATATAAAATATAAAATTTCCAAAATATAGAAGTTAAAAATGCAACTTACAACTGCCCCATCTCACTGAAGTTTAAAAATTATATCAAACTGATCTCAGTGAATGTTTCAACAACTAGTGCAGATCAGCAATGATGCGTGAAAGGACATTGCTTCCAATTGGATTGGAATTCACCACGCCATATTGGTACAAAGCAACCAGGCATGATTTGTTGTCACAAGTTCAAGACAGACGTGATATGTCATCATAAGACTGCATCGGGGATAGTAATGTTGTAGAATATCAAACATATTTAATATTCCCACAATGCTTTAAGATTGTCCCTGACGGTAAATCGCGTAAGGCCTGCTGTGGCATACCGAGTTGGCCTTAGCTTAAGGCACCTGCATATCCAAGGGATAGAAGGGATCCAGGTGTAAATCTGAGTCAGATTGTTTCATAGTAATGAAATCAAATACAAAAACTCATCTCACCAGCGAGTGGGTGCCTAGTCTTTATAGAGACCGGTAATAACCCAGGATCAATTAGATGTCCAGCACCAGGATATGTCAAGACCGTATGCTTATGGTGACCACTGCGATTTAACCTTTCAGTCAGTTTTGACGTGCAGTCCTTACTGTTGTAAATCTGATCGTCTTCTCCGGCAATGAATAGAAAATGGGCTTTTGATTTTTCAATCTATAATTAATTACCAATGCAAGATCAAATTAAATCTGTACTCTCTGTTCTCAGCTTTTAGAAAATGTTCATTTCATTTAAAATTTATTTAACCAGAAGAAAAACCTCATTTAATAAAACTGTAAAGAGAAAATAATAATTACACAATAAATTTCAAAAAATACAGGTCAAATTGATATTCAATGAGACACAGATCTGAGAAACAGAAAATTGACAGAATTTATACTACAAAACTGTCAGCCAATTTTAGTGTCTATTTAAAGAAATAGAAACATTATACAGGTATATGCATATAATTACTGCACATGCACATCAAGATATATTTGAGGGGGAAAAGAATTGGAAGGTATTTTACCTGAATAGCTGTTTTTTCTGTTGCGTTGTTTAAATTCCCTGTGATGGCTTTTAAAACATTAATTTCACCATTTTCCCTAAGTTCAATTAGATCACCTGAATACCTAAAAAAATTCAATGTTACTATGGTGATCACAGTTAAAAACATGATAATGATAAAATAACATGGCTATAAAGATAACATGTGGGTATCACATATACATTATTATCATCTTGCAAAAAGGTTCAGAAATCTGTAACAACAATTTAAATCACCATGCTCCCCTCTTTCTCCTTTCTTTTCTCTTCTCTCTTTTTTTCTTGCCCCCTAGCCCCCGTGCCCCCCTAGATCTGCTGCTGTAAGTAGACATCTACTACGATTATTTCTCATTTTGTTAATATTTTTTAGTTTATCTTTAAATATTATGGTTGTGAACTGATATTGAACACAGCAAATGAAATCAAACCACCAAGCGTGGTCGTACACCATGAGTTAAGGGAAAAATACTTTACATAATTCATTGGTTTTCAAATTCAAGAAAATGCAAAAATATTTTAATACATACTCTATAAAAGGTAAATGTTCTCCACGTAACTTCACAGGCGCCAAGACATGATGATGATTTGCAGCATAGCAAACTATAGCTCTTACCTTTAAAAAAAAGAATTATATAACAAGTGATGCCTAAAAAATATCTAACAATTCATTCTAAAATACAAAAATTATTAGAAAATTGATATAAGAAACAAGAATAAGAAAAAAAACCAGAAAAGTTAACCAGTTGGAGCTATTATATCAAACTGTTGTGATGACATATTACAAGACAAATATTGTGTATGGTCTGCTTCTATGGCCGAGTGGTTAGGCAGGGCCGCAGCTAGCTACAGCCTTAACTTCGGCATGGTTCCAGCAGCTCCTCGCCCACGGTTCAGTTGATGGCGATGCAACAGCAACGCGACGAAGAACACATGGGAAGACGCAGACCCAACGGATCGTCTTTTTACTGAGATTGCCACTGATAATCAGCAGACAGCGTTCGTCGTCTATCGTTTGCCGGAAGCAAATGCGGATTTGTCGTACGACGGTCGTACAACGCAGTGAGTGTCCGGCTTTACGGCTTCTAGGTAGTCATGGACCACCTCCATACGCAATTCAGCACAATGAAGCTGCAAGTTATAGGTTATTCTCCTACCTTTACCTTTATGTATATTATTGAAACTCATAACACTATTGTATGCATACAAAATATAACCAGTTCTTACATTGTTAGTACATCTAAATTGTAAAATTTCATGCATGTTGAGATTAGTGCGTCCGCATCCCTTTTCACTATTATTTTGCTGCCATTTAATATTCTCCTTTCTTATATTTTTAGGTAAACTAGGTAGAAACCTCATTTATTTGCTATCATATTTAATACATTACAAGGCAACCTATTATTCTATTATTATTAGTAGATATAATTTACACTACCTTATCAGACATCATGGATGAAGTAACTATACTAATCATAGCTCCCATTGATGTGCCCATGAAACCAATACGAGCTGGGTCAACAAACTCTTGAGATGAGAACCAACTCCAGGCTTCCTGAAATGACATAAGAAATATAATTAATTCATACACAACAATGCAAAAATGATTCATACTGCCTTTTCAAGCGGTTGTTTTGCGATGCTCTCTGTATCTGTTTGTTAGCAGGATTATACAAAAACTACTGCAATAAATGGATCATCAAATTTAGTGGATTGGTACCTGTCTAAGGAAGATGCGATTCAAATTCGGGATGTCAAAGGTCAAAGGTGAAGGTCAAGATCACAGAAATTCAAAACATTTCTGTGAAGCTTTGAGCATGAAATTAAAAGAAAATAGTGGCGTCACAGTTACACTCATACAGGCCCTATGTGTATTATTTGGTATTCAGGTACTACAGAGCAGAGGGTATGCACTCCAAGAAGTACTGCTCTAGTTATTAGATAGATACCATTGACAGTTTTAAATTATCAAATTTAAATTGAGGCCAAATCACAATTAACTCAAATTAATAATTTTACACTTCACAGTAAACATATTTCATTCTTCTAACTAGTAATTAGCATACTACACTGGTACTAATGTTAATCTTCTTATTGTAATCTTGCATTTTGCAAAGTTTGAAACCAATTAGACCAACTCCATTTATCATGGTAAGAATTTTCTACCACAACCATTGAAAAAATTAAAAACAATTACCTGAAAATACTCCAAGTTGACTTCGGATACCATTTTAACAAGGTCTTGATAAGCAAAAAAAGGTAGTGCATACGTAGCAAAGCCGCATGAAGCCAGGAGGGCAGCCCTTGTTGCCTTGAGTCCTCCAGCTGTGCCATACATGTCAATCACACTTGGAAATGGCCCTTTGCCTGTAATATTAAATATAGTTCAATTTTTCAACATTTAATTCAATATAAAACAATGCTAAATTATATCCATGCACAATGATTCTTGACAATCTAATTATTTATACTCTCTTGTTTACATTTCTCCAAAAGCAATCAATTCATTTTTTCCCCCAAGTTTATCATTTTTATGTGGAACTTTAATTTTATCCTGAAGGAATTTATTTTTGTAGTTCACAACTGGAAATTAGAATTAAAAAAAGAATTTTCTCAGCCTATTGGAAATAAGAAAAGAAAATTGCATAATGTTGGTATGACTATAATAATATTCTTTTTTACTATTGTGGTTATTATGTACTTTAACTGTAAAAATATTTTTTTCACAATTCAGTTTTTTAAACTGCAATGAAATTATTTTGTAATGTTTTTTTATATTGATTATGGATAAAGATACCTTGATATAGTATAAGGAAGAAGAAATAATATGAACATAAACACACCAAGTGGCTTAAAGATGATTCCACGTAGGCTTCCTTCTAAAACCTCTTGGCTCTCTACATCCTCTGACACAAACATCCTCTCCAACTGGCATCCTGCAATGGCACCTGAGCTCTCCAGCTCTTGAGCAGTCAATGCACCTTGATGAACACTAAATTGCATTTGCAGAGGTTTAAGAACATCCAGGCCTTTGATAGAGAGTACTGTATGGTCTGGTTTTTCTGGAAATTGTAGGCTCCACAGAAGTCCTGCTCCATCAACACCTATAAAGCAAAAAATCTTATTTTTTATTTTTCAAACTTAAAGCTTTATTGCTGTGCCCTATACCACATGTTTTCATGATTAAAAATACTAAACTACCAACATAAAGGAGGCATAGAGCAGACATGATTCAGGTATTCAAGAGTAGACTATTGTCAGTTTCATAGGTATATTATATACAGTACACCTTGTACCAAGTCAACATGGTCATTTGCTTGAGCAGAAACTAATTTCTCAGATTCAAGCTGCATAATAAAACAATTCATTGCCCATAAAACTGTTGTAGCTATAAACAGTTTGTGTACAGTATTATTGATATGTACTTAGCTAACCATCTGCTCATATATGCTGCTTATCAACAAAATTAATGGAGAGCATTGAGAGGGGCCTAAATAGCGTCTTTTTGCTAGGGTTTTAACTTCCAGGACAACTTCTAAAATTCAGCATTTAGATCAAAGATACTAGAAATACAAGATAGAGCACTTGCATAGCAAAAGTGAGGAGGATATATGTCACATCTTTTACGCAAATCCAGTGGTAAGCAGTGCCCTCCAGTTTTCAATATAGTTCACATCCAGACGTACAGGACGCCCTTCTGTTGCTAAGTAAATCCAGACGTACGCGGCACCCTTCTCTTTCCGCTAATATCCACTAATGATGGAAATATTGGCCGTATTTGACTGGTCGTTCTTCGTTAAACCACGCCCACCTGCGCAGTGGTAAACTCCTACTTAACGAAGACGACCAGTCGAATAGAATTCTGGTAAATACTCGACAAAACAAAATGGCTGCACAGTTACCGCGATGCACGCTGCGTAATCAAGACTGCTTCGGATTGTGGCAGTATGGGTTTTTTGTAAAAAAAAGTTTTCATCCAGTTTTTGAATTCTGTTAGCCTACAATTATTTTTTACTTCAATGTCGGTAAATAATTTCTATTTTCTGAAATTTAATTATATTAACGCAAATGTTGTTGCTAAACTGACCAATCGGCCATATATTTTTTGGTCAGGTGCATACGCTGGTTAACGCATTCTGGTTACGTTAATTTTCGTTGTCAATGAAGTCTATTTTACAAACCAGTCGAATGAAAAAAATACTCAACGAAAATTCGTACTCAATGAAATGAACCAGTCAAATAAGCCCTTTATCACTAATCACGGTCCAGTCATACAATTCTACACTTTGTGTCCGTTATTTTACTCTTTTGATATATTTATGCCTACTTGTTTGTATCTTATGGGTGGCAACAATGTCTACCTAACCAAACAGGCCTCCAATATAGGTTATGTATTCACTGTCATGTAAAATTTGGCAAAAGTTATTAGGATCCAGCCGTATGCAGAGCCCCATGGTTTGTATTCCCACCATGCATTTTGGTGGAACACTTTTTTTCTGTGGAGAACTCTATCTTGTGTTTCTAGTATCTTTGATTTAGATTTATATCCAGCATTTCTCACCAGTGTATGTACCGCCGAGTGATGGTTGCTGGCTAGGATCAATTTCACCTGTTGATGATGATTTAAAGTGGGCATAAGAAACCAATAGATTTTGGCCATTCTTAATGCTTCCTTTTATGGTATAGTCAGTGTTTTGTTTGGCAGATGTCACACAGATCCTTGGACAGTGATCAGCAAGGCAGGGAGACGGAGACACGTCTATATGTATTGACCTATTGTGTAGGCCTGCTGTGCTGTGGGAACACAAAACATTTGGATGTACTGTATATTGTTATTCATATTTCATAATAAATGTACTTATCTCTTACAAATTTTGTTTAGCACCCCCGTGTAGTCCATGTAAAGATAGTTCTATTCAGGGTTTTACTTGAAGAGTAAACAATCAAATACTATACTTGACTTATGGATTATACAGCTAGATTTACAGTATTGTACATATCTATTGAAATCGACCCATGTGTGGTTCATTGATGCATTTGAAAGATGTATTACCAGATGTAATATCAAATAAATTATCAACTTGAAATACCGTAAGCCAAATCAAATCAATTCAGTTTTTGATCAAATTCAGATAGAAAACCTGATAGCCAAAGATGCAATGAATGAAATTCAACTGTAGGCCTATATTATGCACCGGGGAAATTATTTATTTTTCAAATGTTTGATTGAAAACTAAAAACGTTTGGGTAGTGTTAGGCATATAGGCCTAGATAGATTTTAAATTTCTTGAAATTTTTCAACCACCCACACCCACTTCCCCAGGACAAAACCAACCTACCTACCTACTACAAACAGCGCTACACCCTTGTACTATTTGTATTTTATCTGTGTCATAACGACATCAACAATCACGTACGTGGCACATAATGATATAGGCCTATCTCGTAGTCGACCAGGCCTGGGCTTAAACGAGTGTAGGAACGAACTCCTCCTATTCACTGCCGAGATGTTATGAGAAATGATGAACAGGATTTGGCTTGACAATTTTTGAAGCATGTCTACAAAAAACGGAAAATAGTCTTGAATTAACCTTCAACAGACAAACAATAGTATCCCAGACTTACGAGACGTAACTTAACAACTTAACCACTTACTATAAAAAAGTCTTTAATTAGTTATTATTAGATAGACGTTTAGGCTCAGCATACACCACCACTATACCAAAGAGTATAAAACTGCAAGAGGTCCGACTGCCCTTATTTTGTTTACAGGCAATGGAACCAAAGATACTAGAAATACAAGATAGAGTTCTCGCATTGTAAAAATGAGGCGGAAGTCGTGCCCAACGTAGGCGGCGCCCTTCTTTTTAACCATGCAAGTTTCCTATACTTCGTGCCCAACGTACAGGGCGCCCTTCTGTTGCTCAGTATATCCAGACGCAAAAGGCGCCCTTCCTTTTCCACTAAATGGAGGAAAACTTTTTCACTAAGAGTGCGTCCGGCCATGCGATTCTGCGCTGTATTCTTGTTTTATTCTTTACTGATTCATGATTATGCTTTAATTGTTTTGTGTATTAGGCAGTACCCTAGGCTAGCCAGGCCTAGGTAGGCTAGGCCCGAGTCTAGGCTAGCTAGGCCCTAGGCCTAGCTAGTTAGGGCCTAGGCCTAGCTAGTTAGGAGCCTAGGCCTCGAGGCCAAGGCCTAGCCTAAGCCTTGCGTAAAAAAAAGATAAACCATTGTTAAGTGTTATGTTTCCATTTCCAATTAAGCATTTGTTAAGTCTTACCTAGTTTAAATGTACGTCCGTATCGTATACGCCTCAAACACTCAGATTTTTTTTTTAGTGTTGACGTTAATTTCACGGGAATTTACGTATATTGACGCAAATTTACCTACATTGACGCAGATTGTTATGGTTTGACGTAAAATGACGCGATACTACCTTCAAAAATAGTTTCCCTATACTAAAAATGGAAGAGCCAAGCCTACGTCACTGTTTTGCAAAGCCTGGCTGCTTTGCAAAGTGTGGCTGACTTACGTCTCGCTGCCGGTCTGCAGCAGGATCTCTATCGATTGTCGACATGTGCTTCACAGCCAAACACACGCCATCTCACGGCCAAATTCGGCCAAACCTTTTTTCGATATCGACCAAAAAAAAAATGTTTTGTTGTAGTCAAATATAACTAAATACATAAATACAAAAAAATTTGATAAAATACCGAACCTAAGTTTCGTACATTTTTTTTGGTCGGTGGGCGTGACCAACACAATATTTTTTTTATTTTTTATTTGGCCTAATATTCATTTAAAATACAAAAATTACACTAAAATCAGCTGATCATTTGTACGTTTGAAATTGAAAAAATTAAAATGATATACACAGAACGATGTTCAACTTTCACTGTTTTTGTTATAATTAATTTATCACCATAAATTAAATGCCCGGCTACGTCATAATATTAAATATATTCTTTAATTAGTTGCTAACGTGTAGGCCTATTTAAAATAACATTATATTAAGATTGATCTAAATTTGATTTAAGTGTATTAAATAAGGTACATGGTAGTCGGACTATAGCAATAATTTTAAGGGCCTGTTATCGAATCTTCGTTTATCGTAAATCCGTGGCTTAGAATGAAAGTTACATTTAATAGGTAACACAAACCAGTGTTAAGACAAACTTATGAAAACTTTAATAAATGTTTTTTCTAAACTTTCTAAATTTGCCTCTGAAAGTTATTGTTGCACTACTTAAAACAATAAATCAATTGTTTCAGAATCATCTGTTCCTGATTCTCAGTACAACATACTCCAGAGTAAAGTGGAGTGCCATCGGACCCGAATGATTTCGAGCATTTATGACACTCGACATAAAGAACACTGCAGCATCTATACAATTCAAGTGGGCAATAATAAATTAATTAAAGTATTTAATTTAATTTATTTTATTCATTTCTCAACCAAAAGAAATAGATTAGAAACCTCCACTAGGTTGGAACATATACAAATGCACACAATATATGGTACAAAGTTGCATTGAACTGTCTTCATAAAGCTATAACGAGGATAAACTTTATAAAATATATATATTTCATCCGAACAACTTAAATTATTAAGTAACTGCTAAAATCTTTTAAATAAACTCTCTTACGTCAACTCGGCCAAAGGGGGAACATAGATTAAGCGTTCAATGTAAACAAAGGTACACGATTAGAACCAAATTTAATGGGACCTCTATTTAGTACATGGACATACTGAAGGCCATGGAACTGTTCCCATCACACGATGGACTTTTGTAACTTCATTTGGAGCTTCAAGTGATTTCTTCACCGTGATAACAAAACTTTATTACATTCGGCACATGTCCGCCGCTAGACGACGCCATGTTGTTGTTGACTGTAAAACAACTCGTAAAGTTGTTGTAACAAAACTAACTTAAAAGTAGGTACAAAATCATTTTTCTGTTGTTGAAATACAAATTACATCTAATTATAATTTTTAAGTTTGTTTTTAAAGCAGTAATACTCACAGATAATAAACTATACATTAGAAATACAACATTTGAACGAATACAGTGACGTATGTATATAATGCACACGTGTTATCGTGTCAAGGTCATTATATCTAAATAATGGTTTCTTACTGCCAATTATATAAATAACCGTTGTGGTCGAGTGCCATTATAATATATAAATAATGACATCGTAGGAAGCCATACTTTATAAATAATTCGTTATGCAAATTACGAAGTAATAAATATTCACCAGTGCAGTTAAGTTACAATTCGGGGCCTATTATGTGTGGTCTACAGGTCGCAGACCATCACCTATATCATGGACCTATATTAATAAGGTCCATGCCTATATCGAAAATGGCACAGCAAGGGATACAGCAGATTATTTAATTTGCTGTACTGCAATCTCAAATCAATTAAGAGAACCTCGCTCCATGGCCTACTGTAAAGAGCTTTTTTTGTTGTAAGTTTAAACGTCATTTTTCCGTGTTTTGCTAAAGTTCTTACTGTCAAACTTGTTTAATGCTTTTAAATATTATTAAAGTTATTTTCATAAGGAGTTAAAGTATTAAAATGGGAACGGGATTGAACGATAGAAATTTTGCTCTGGCCCGGTGTTGTATACAAAGCTAAAGGTCAACTTTTGACATGGACCTTGTTCAGTGTGACCACTGCTTGGATATTTACCCAAGATCTTGGGTATTTTGACTTGGTCGTGGGTTCTTGGGTATTCCGTTCAAATCATTGAGTATTTTATTTTTACTAATAAGAAAATTAAATATTTTTGTCATAGAGGAAGAATTAAGAAGTAACAAAGTATATTTCAGTCCATTCCAGTAAGCAACCCTCAACGAAGTGAACATAACATTGTTAATTGACTGTTAATTACTATGAACATGGGTTCAGAAGTGATTTGCGTTGCCATTGATCTTACCTAATTAATGTATTACTGTACATAATAAAATTTGATCACTGATCTACTGATAACACTGGCCGACTGAGGGCGTATTTTTCTATCCGTATTATCACCTTATGAATATTAATTTTAATAATCAACACAAACCAATAAAAAATGGTTTATAAATTGAACTAAAAGGGAAACTATACATGCGAAAAACACGGGTTTTTTTCAAATTTTAATGCATTTTCAAGAAGCTTGGGTAATTTTGGGCAATTTTTGCTGAATCTTGGGTAATTTCGACCCAGTCATTGGGTATATCATGGACCTATTATTAATATATAGGTCCATGGGTATATCAAGTGTGAGTGGTCACGCTGGCCTTGTTACATGTGATAAATTACGCCTGGAGGCAGCGTGTAATTGAAATATCCACTAAAAAACATGGGTTTTTGGGACAGATGTTTTTCGAATATTTTATGGCTAGAGGCAAAATGAAGTACCCGGTAAAACTTTACTTGTCTGAAAGTATAGGATATTAATAAATTTATACAAATACACTGGATTATTGAGTAGACTAGGGCTATGTTCACACACGCGGCGTAAGACTGGCGTGGCTTACTCCAGGCGTAAGCTAATCCACGGCCCTTAAAATTCCAAAGTGTTCACACAAACGGCGTTCGTTAAACTAGTAGTAATATATAGGCCTCTGGGGGAATATTTTTCAGTTTTAAATAATGTACGGGTTCTTAACTGTAGTAAAATTAACAGTGTATCATGAAAACTTTTAAATCTGTGAATTGTTCGAAGTGAACTTATATGATTATTGTATTTTAAATGAACAATTTTACTTCTGATTTTTCAGCTAGCATTTGTGTTGCAGGTTTTAATAGACAGTCTAAATAGGTTAAAATATCTTACAAAACACAATCAACAAATCATACATATTTTAAAATACAATAGAAAAAGAACCCCTTTACCATTTCATTCATAGAGAGCACAGGAAAGAGACCAAAGTGTTTAATATATTGCAATCGTGATTGGTCAATCTCTTAAAATGAGGTCAAATCATTCAAGCATCACTGGCGTTAGATCAGTGGCGTTAGCTAATCTGGGGTCTGCAGGTAGCGTTACTCCAAGGACGTGGCGTAGTGAGTGGCCTTAACAACGCCACTGCCCAAGGTAATTCAACAAAAGGACGCACATCTCGGGACATCGACATTCTAGGCGCACGTGCGTCCCTACACGCTGAACGTCACAAAAACCATAGCAACCAGACCATAAACCGTCAGCGTACGTGACGATTTACCCACGCGCGTGTTAGTTGCCATGTTCTTCTAGATGGAGTCGCGCGTCGTGCGGTGATTACAAAGGCCT